TGGTATTGAAGGAAGTTGGGAGATGGGGTGGGGTGCGAGAAAGCGTGGGGTATGGTTGAGTAGCCGGCATACGGACGGGTTTCAGGCGTACCCCCATTCTTAAGGGGTGGTAGTCATGGTGAATTGGAAACTTTGGAATATGATACAAATGGCTAGCTTTATTGCTCTGATACACGAGACAATCGATCATGATAATGGGTGTATATGCCCCTTGCTGGATACTGTTGGGTAAAAGTGGTAGCTGGCGCTGTAGAAGGAGCACAGCGAGGCTGTTGATGTGCAGACTCTCAAGGCACCACCCACTACCATACGAATAGATCATAACTCATAATAATCACCACGGACTATCACAAGAACCAATAAATTTCAATTTCCCTTGATCAAGATCCCTTCTCCAAAGAAGAAAGTTAAGCTTCAAAACCCTCAAAAGTGACGGTAACAATTTCCCAGACCCCTTCCGTAGCTAACCATAGCTGACAAGTGCAGTGCAGTGCCGTGCTGTTAAATCTCAAAGAACAAACAAATCAAACAAATCAAACACAAGCACAAGATCATCAATCCATCGACATAGTACGGTATGTGTAGTACGGTACTTATGCAGATCGGATGCACATCCCCATCGCGTCATCAGAGCTAAGATATCGTCAATGTTCGTCAATCAAGGCAGGAATTGATCACACAATCGAAACCAGGGATTCCGAAAAAGAAGAAAACAGATCGATCATAATTATGATGAGCTCCTTTCCCCCCTCGTTCACTCGTTCGCCTGGTTTTGCTCTTGCAATTTTCCCACACCGCTGGTTTTTTTTTTTCATCTCTTTTCATCACTTTTTCGTGAACGCATACTGTTATCCCCCCCCTCCAAAACCCTCATCTTCATCCTCCGCAATGAAGGATTGAGGTGGGTTAGGGAAGCTCTTGCTTAAACCTTCATGGCGAACTTCTTCAGGTACAGATAATCCGCCATGTTGGCATCCACAGTCTTGCGGATGAGGGCGGCGCCTTCGGGCCCGTATTTCTCCTGCCATTCGGCGTCGAATTGGGCCTCGGTCTTCTGGGCTCGGGGCTGGATTTGCGGTGTTAGTTTCGGGGATTGCAATTGCACTGATTGAATGGGCTGAAGTGTTTGTGAGGGGAGAGAGGTAGGTGGTGAGTGTTCTTGTGACTCGTCGTCCTCCAGCTTGCCATAGCACTTCCTTGATTTGTTTGATGACGGGGCGTGGGAGAGAGAGGGCAATGAACAGAAGGAAAGGGAGAATACTAACATGTTTCCGGCCCACCAAGCCCGTCGACTCGATAGCGTCGTTATGGAATCCGCGCCACTTCTCGAACGCGGCCCGCGCGCACGCATGGTCGGCCTCGGTATCCCAGCACAGCATCGAGGGGTCGTACTTGAGGCCCACGCTGCGGCAGAAGGCCTCGATCATCGGGGCCGGGTTGTCGAGCATGTCGTCCGCGTCGACGACGCAGATCTCGGCCATCTCGTCCTCCCGGCTCCCGCTGCTGCTGCGGCCGGTCATGCTGGCGGAGGAGGCCGCGGACGACGGGCGCGAGGAGGCGGCCGACGAGGAGTCCTGCTCCGTCTCGTCGGGCTCGTGCGTGGCGACCCGCGGGCCGACCAGCCGCGTGTCCCGCAGGTAGTCGAACGTGCGGCGGAGCTCGTCGTACCCGGCCTCCGCGGGGTCGTAGTTCTGGAACCCGGTCACCGCGTCCAGCGGCGGGATCGTGCAGCGGTAGTACGACGGCACACTGTAGTGCGGGTCGCGGATGAGGAAGGCAAAGTGGAACTGCGACAGCAGCGCCCGCGGCATCACGGTTGGGTTGCCGGCTTCCGCCTCCGTCGCGTACGGGTACGGCGTCGCCTTCGGCTGCTCCGTGCCTACGCCGCGCTTGATCCGGTGCAGCGATGGCGCGATGCTGGCCGGTTGGCCGTGCGGTGGCAGGAGGTAGTGGATGATGTCCTTGATGAAGACGCGTTTGCCCTGTGTTTGTGGGGTAAGTATCTTGCTAGGTTTGTGGAACGGTGAATGTGTGAATGTTGTCGGAACACATGCGGGAGAAGACTTTAGGGCACGAAGAACAGGTTGGGCTGATGCTCAACAGTCCATCCTGTTGATCCTGCGGTTCATCTCCCTGGGCGTGTGAAGGGGAAACGCTCGCAGGTGATCCACATGCAGACACGGAAGAATCATGCCCGTAAATGCATCACAACGGAAAACAGGATCTTGCTTCTGCCTTTCCCCGGGTTTTCTCTAACTTGGCAGACCGAGCCCTTATCCGAACGGATTCTCGACGTTCTCAAACTACGATGGCCGCAGGGGAGGGAATAAAGTGCTAGGGACAAGGGAAAGAAAAGGGGAACGAATCAAACAGGCAAGGAAAAGGGTCGGACCTCAGATGATTCGCGCTCGATGCGATCCAGGACGGTCTTGAACGTCGACTGGCTGAATCCGCTGTCCAGACGGGCCTGTTCATCGTCGGCGAATCTGGTCGACAACCGCTCCGGTCCATAGTAGAAGGCATCACCAAACGGCTCGTGGACACACTGGATGGTATCCCGCTGAGTCATGAAGACCTGATGCAAACGAGATTAGCGAGATGTTCCAACCCAGAAAAAAGAGGTGGGGTGGGGGGGCGAGGAGTTGCAGGGAACAACATACTCGCTCAAAGGCCGTGGAACACGCCCGGGGGTGAGTAGCCACAAAGATGGGCTTCTGCGACATCGTGACGGAGTATTCTTCCGGTCGATGGTCGAATACTAAACACGATAATCCTTTTTTATCTGGGCTGGTGATCGGTTCGATCGCTGGGAAATCGGTTTTCAGATTTCCTTCCCGTCAAAAAAACTCAAGTACAAAATCTATCGACCAGGGAGTTTCACCACTGGCGTAGGTACTCGGGGATTATGGGCTGTACTGTAGCACCCTTTTTTTCTCGTCCGATTTACTGGATTTCGAGGTGGGTGGAGTGGTGTAGGATATGCTTGGGCGAACCCTATTCAAGCAGGTTTGCAGTCACAGTTCAGTTGGGAGGATTCCTTCCAGACTGCAAGTTGATTGAGAGAGAGAGAGAGAGAGGAAAGAAGGGAGGAGGAGGGGAAACCAGAATGAGGGCTGGCGGGCTTTATACCTACTGGCTTGGGATGTGTCAGTCAACAACAACAATTTATTATCCGACTCCAATCGATTTAAATCGATCAAGCCATTCGAGAGGCGAAGAGCAACAGGTACTAACTTAACTACTGCTGTTTAGGCTTACGAAAATTTACTCGGTCATACTGGAGGAACGAGAGAGGAATTCGAGTGAAACCGGGCAGATTGACCCGTGGATCGTCCCCCGATAGAGCTGGCCGGCGGCGGACTCGTACTACGAGCCTATTCTAATCCACTTTGTTTCCTGTGCTATTTTAATTAGCAGGTTAGTAAGACTCGAAGATACCTAACTAGTTGGTCCATCATTTCATCTCAACGAAGACCGAACCATTTAGTGCAGCGAGTAGTGTATGTCTTTCTTCATCCAGTCCCTCTTGGCGCATTTCTAGTAGGATAGCTCAACGCAATTTTTCGCGGTTGAAATTTGCCTGGCAGTTTTCGAGTGAGTGCTGTTCGGTTAATCCCGCAGAGACGTCTCGAGGGGAGGAATGCGCGTGGGTGATTAGCGATAATGAGAATAATGCAAGGCATAAAGTCAATAATAATCCCGCATGCCTTCTCAAAGAGAAATGAAACTTCCTTTTCCCCCCTCGGTCTTGAAACTCTACGGCTTATCTGCCCTGGATTCGATTCGCCTGAAGCCCAGGTCCAGGGCTGAGCCACAAAGGCGCGCGGTGGTGGTCATGGATGGATCATGCCCACTGCCCAGCCCGCCCGATCGCGGAGGTTCCCCGTTCCTGGCGCACGGTTGGTCATTCCCTGTTGGGCATCGTAGGTACTGGACTGTACTAGCCAGTGGGAAAACTCCTCAGCCGCCCAGCAACCAATCCCTGTGGCGGTCCAGTGGACACAAGGAGGAGGGGAGTCTGAGAGGCGGAGATGCCCACTCTTTGACGTCACGGGCTAAGGCCTGGAAACGGTCCTTTCCATGGCTGTCTTCTCCATAGCGGGGCGGGGGGGGGGGGGGTAATCGCAGTCAGTCTCAAGAAAGAGCGAAAGAGAAAGAGACAAGGAAACAGTTGGACAATTAGGGGGAGGGTCTCAATGCCCCGCGAGAAGTGTCTGTGAGTAGGGGGTTTTTTTTTTCCTTCTATTGCACAAGCTCTCAGAATCAATCCCAGTATCGTGTAGTGTACAGGAGTTTTGTCGTGAGGCTCCACGCAAGAATGAACGAGGTGGATAATCTTGTGCAAGGGAAATGCAGACTCTGTTGCTGTTGCTGCTAGCTGATGGCCGCCTGGCTAGCTAGTTGTCTTCGCTCGCGTATACTCTGGAAATATTTTTTTTTCTCTTTTCATCGGACATGTATTTTCGGACTAACCTCGGATGTAAGCATAGCATTCTTTGAAGCTGGTAGTCAATGATATGTGTTCGGCTTGACTTAGTAACTCTAATGTAGTTTAATCCCGGCCAGACCATACGTGACATGCCAATCACGATGACGGCTCTCCGACGTGGGGGGCGTTACTACTGTCTCGTGCGACAGACGGCTCATGATGCTGGTGGGGTTGAGAGAAGTCCTGTCAGTTTCGAGACTATGAGTAAAAGAACAGACATAGAGACAAGGAGAAGTATCCGGAGAGGGAAGATGACTCCGTTGGTTTTTGTCATTGCCATCACTAAGTGATCAGGGGTCCAGATCACCTGATCCAGGTGGCCTGATGGCCTGATGGGCCAGGCTGGCAAACCAACTGGCAATCCAGGACCTTCCGGAGCCGACACGTGACATCCAGCAGCAGCGAGCAAAGCCGCGGTGTTTCTGGAAGGCGGTGGAAGCGGGCCGTGTCGTCATGGCGGGAAGCCGGCGATGCCTGACCAGCTTCTATATCTTCGCCTTCCGTGCCGACCCTCCATCGTGTCTGTCACTTTCATTTTACAGATTCAAATCAGAGAATACTACCACTAATACCTGCTATCGCTAATATCTTCCTAACGAGACGTCTCTCCTCGTTATACCTCCGACCTCCTCCCTCTGTACACTTACTCTCACCTACCACTACTACCACCACCTGATACCTCGTTTCCCGCACATCACAACCCCCACTTTCACACCATGAACGGTGCTCAGTTTACAGACAAAGCCAACAAGGCCCTGCTGGACTCCAGTAGCCTGGCTGAACAATATTCACACTCACAGATTCTTCCCGTTCACCTTGCAGTCTCCCTCCTGAACCCCTCTCCAGATGAGTCCAAAGACCAACAAGCTACCGCCCATCCCTCCCACGACACTGCCTCCGCTCCTCTCTTCCGTCAAGTCATTGAACGCGCCCATGGCGATCCCCAACTTCTCGAACGCTCCCTTATGAAGCTTCTTGTGCGCCTGCCCAGCCAAGATCCACCTCCAGAGACCGTCAGCGTCTCGCCCGCTTTGGCCAAGGTCCTCCGTTCTGCTAGCGACCTGTCCAAGACCCAGAAGGATAGCTATGTCGCCATTGACCACCTCATCACCGCCTGCGCTCAAGACTCCCAAGTTCAGCGCGCTCTCGCAGACGCTAACATCCCTAATGTCAAGTTGATCGACAGTGCCGTACAACAGATCCGTGGCACGAAGCGAGTCGACTCCAAGACCGCAGACGCAGAGAGCGAAAATGAGAACCTGAAGAAATTCACCATCGATATGACCTCGCTGGCTCGAGAAGGAAAGATCGATCCCGTTATTGGCCGAGAGGAAGAGATCCGACGTGTCATCCGTATCCTCAGTCGGCGCACGAAGAACAACCCGGTGCTCATCGGTGAGCCTGGTGTTGGTAAGACCACCATCGTGGAAGGCCTGGCGCGTCGGATCGTCAATGCCGATGTTCCTGCCAACTTGGCCCAGTGCCGCCTGCTCTCCCTTGATGTCGGTTCTCTCGTTGCCGGCAGCAAGTACCGTGGTGAGTTCGAGGAGCGCATGAAGGGCGTTTTGAAGGAGATCGAAGAATCCAAGGACACTATCGTCTTGTTCGTCGACGAGATCCATCTCCTCATGGGTGCAGGCTCCAGTGGTGAGGGTGGCATGGACGCTGCCAACTTGCTTAAGCCCATGCTGGCTCGTGGTCAACTGCACTGTATCGGTGCTACCACATTGGGCGAATACCGAAAGTACATTGAGAAGGACCAGGCCTTCGAACGTCGGTTCCAGCAGGTTTTGGTCAAGGAGCCCTCGGTTCCCGAAACCATTTCGATTTTGCGTGGCTTGAAGGAGAAGTACGAAGTACACCACGGTGTCAACATTCTTGATGGCGCCATTGTTTCTGCCGCCGAACTTGCCGCTCGTTATCTCACAGCTCGTCGTCTTCCCGATTCGGCTGTCGATCTGATCGACGAGGCGGCTGCTGCTGTTCGGGTCACCCGTGAATCCGAGCCCGAAGCCCTTGATAACCTTGAACGAAGACTCCGTCAACTACAGATCGAAATCCACGCTCTTGAGCGCGAGAAAGACGATGCCTCTAAGGCCCGCCTGGAAGTGGCCAAGCAGGAGGCCGCTAATGTCGCAGAAGAGCTCCGTCCCTTGCGCGAGAAGTACGAAAGCGAGAAGCAGCGCAGCAAGGCTATCCAAGAAGCGAAGATGAAGCTCGACTCCCTCAAGGTCAAGCGTGACGAGGCCGAGCGCTCCGGTGACACCCAAACCGCCGCCGATTTGGAGTACTATGCCATTCCCGAGACCAAGCAACTCATCGAACGACTGGAAATCGACCGCGCCAAGGCCGACGAGGAGCGACGCACTCGCCAGGGCGATGCGGGCGAGGCTCTGCTGGCAGATGCCGTCGGTCCAGACCAGATCAACGAAATCGTGGCCCGCTGGACCGGTATTCCCGTCACTCGTCTCAAGACCACCGAAAAGGACAAGCTGCTGAACATGGAGAAGCATCTTGGCAAGGTGGTCGTCGGTCAGAAGGAGGCCGTGCAATCGGTCTCCAACGCTATTCGCCTACAACGATCCGGTCTGAGTAACCCTAACTCGCCGCCCAGCTTCCTCTTCTGTGGTCCCTCGGGAACGGGTAAGACGCTCCTCACCAAGGCCTTGGCGGAGTTCCTCTTCGATGATCCCAAGGCCATGATCCGGTTCGACATGTCCGAATACCAAGAACGGCACTCTCTGAGCCGCATGATTGGAGCGCCCCCCGGATACGTCGGCCACGACGCTGGCGGCCAGCTTACCGAAAGCCTCCGTCGCCGGCCTTTCTCCATTCTACTGTTTGATGAAGTCGAGAAGGCTGCCAAGGAGGTCCTGACTGTCCTCCTCCAGCTCATGGATGACGGCCGTATCACCGACGGACAGGGCAGAATCGTCGACGCGAAGAACTGCATTGTGGTGATGACTTCCAACCTCGGAGCCGAGTTCCTCGCTCGCCCTGCCGCCAAGGACGGCCGCATCGAACCCGCCACGCGCGAGCTAGTCATGGGCGCCCTCCGCGACTACTTCTTGCCTGAATTCCTGAACCGTATCTCCAGCATCGTCATCTTCAACCGTCTCACCAGACGCGAAATCCGCAAGATCGTTGACCTCCGTCTCAGCGAGGTCCAGAAGCGCCTTACCGACAACTCGCGCAACGTGACTATCGAATGCACTGACGAAGTCAAGGACTATCTCGGCGAATCCGGTTACTCGCCTGCTTATGGTGCTCGTCCTCTGGGTCGCATCATCGAGCGCGAGGTCCTCAACCGCCTCGCTGTTCTCATCCTGCGTGGCAGCATCCGCGATGGCGAAGTAGCTCGCGTGGTTATGCGCGACGGTCGCATCGACGTCCTCCCTAACCATGGCTTCGACAATGACGGCGATCAAGACATGGTTGACAGCGATGAGGATGCATTGGCTGAGATGGAAGATGGTAGTGGTGACATGGACTTGTACGAGTAAGAAAAAGCTTGCTTGCAGTCGATGATAGACGAACGGAGCCAAAAGCGACGAAAGGGTGTTGATACTGATTTGATCTACTTCCGGCTTTCTCTTTTCATGATTCATGAGATACGATTCGTTTTCTTTTTTTTTTTTTGCTCGGGACAGTTTGTTGTCAATAGTTTTTGTACAGGCCGGATCGTCTTACATGAGCATGTCTGAGTACATAATAGGATGGTTGTACAAAGCAAGGTTTACTAGGCTCAAATAGCTAGTTTTGTGAATCCAATTTGAGATACTCCAAAAATCTTCCTCTTTCTCATATCTCCCTCTACCCTTCTCCGTAGAACAGCAACAGCTTTTACTTGAGTTATTAGGAGGCCCCCAACTGGTTGGGCAGCACCAAAACGGACAGCCCTACTATGCGCTTATTTCTGCTTTATATCACGAAGATTTTGTTAGGCAGTAAGACCTCGAGTTTAGATATTCCGATAAAATTATATACTATATCCATAAAATTAGAGTACATGCATATATACACTCCAACACTTCAACAGCCCAGGCATACATCATCCATGAACTCCGGTATTGTCGATATCCAAAAGAGCAAGCACACGCCCAGACAAAAAAAAAAAAAACAAAGCACTAGAAGAACCCTATGTACATGAAGACTCGTACCAGGAACCAAGGTATATACCGATGCTTGAGCGCACGAACCCAGACAGCGATTAACTTAATCATTAAGGGGGACGAAGGGGGGGGGGG